CACGCAAGCTCTTCGAAAGCTGCCAATAGACACGGCTTTCGAACCCTTTTGAAAATGTTTGTTATCCTCCTAGCTGCAAACTTGTCCGTAGAGGTCGTGCAGAGCCATTGTCACTACTGCCATATTTAGGGCACCGGCGCTAGCAGTCGACGGAAGGCACCATTTTGACGTAACTTTTTTTCACTGGAATTGACTTAAGCATGCACATTTGCGTCATTTGAGGTCCTGACAGCAAATAGCATCCAATGTTAACGCCGGCGTCATTTGGTGCCAGAATGAAGTCAGCGTCAGAATGGAACCACGACTTTTGCTCTGAAATTCGTAACAAACTTGGGGTTATTTGGGGATCTCATCGTGACTCTGACATACATTTCGAAATGCGTATTCCAAGGCTTTGCTAAGGCCGAGCGAGAGAGCAAGAAGAAATGCCTCTTCCCAGGCCATCATTAGTTGGGGATTTGGTCACTTCCATACGAGGCCCCCGAGGTGGCTTGGTATGACCCCCACTGAGTTAATATATTGAGCACCTAAAACGAGAAAAGTCGTGAGGGAAATAACAACATTTCCCCGAATTCTCACCAGTTTTTTCGAAACTCTCCAGTAATGTTCCTACATTTCCTTCAACTTTTTGCTGTCGAGCTGAGGGGCGGGGGTATACAGTGCATGTAAGATAGGAAAAACCCCAGAAACTCGACAAGTGGAAATTAATTTTTCCCAACATCGCGGAGACGAATACGCCCCCCCCCCACCCGCCCCAACAACGACCAAATACGACTTCCTCCCGAGCGACCAAATACGACCTCTTCTGGGGAGTCCCAATGATGTTGTGCCCTCTCCCAGGTCCAGCTAAGCAGAGGACAAACGAATAATGCTCCGTGTTGACTGCGGGGACCAAAGTGTTATGCTCATGATCGGGGCTCCATGCAACCCAGGATGCAAGAATCATCGCTCTAGTGGAAAAAATGGATGCACTAAATTGGTGAGTTGGCGCGAAATTGAGCCAGGATGTTGTAGTTGTGAAATCAGCGCGCCAAAGAAGCACAGCATACAGCGTTTGTGAGGAAGACGGTAGTGTCAACGTTGACACCCATGAGCGCGTTTGGCCTCGAAGCGGGAAAGGGTCATCATATTCATGATCAAAGCACTGAGTTGCTCCTGTAAAAAAGGTTACTATGGAAAAGCAATTCCCGAAATTCTGTGGTAATTATACTAAAATATATCTGTGACTTTTATGAATGATGAATCTAATGAATATAAATTTCATCAACCCATCATTTGTGCAGCTCAGAAAGCTATGAGAGCTTGTTTCTTTGCGATTCGGTGTTCTGGATATTTTTTCTGAAAATCTGTAGAAAGCGTGTGCGCCAGTAGTGATGGGCATGGTCCCAACTGGAACCTTGGTGTCAACTCTCAGTGGCGAACTTGCCACGTTAGCCAGCCGCCTACATTCTCGAGCACCTCGGAATTCCAGCACAACCAAAGTGGAAAGTTTGCATAGTTTACGATACCAATACTTAATTATATATCCTTAATATTAGTGTTTGGGGCGCGAAGCTGGCGCAATGCGTCGGTGTATTGACATCGTAAGAGAATAACGAAAATTTTTAAATGCACTGAGAGTCTTGCAACTGACGAGAACTATACGCTGTCTTGAACCATAAGGCTCTCTGTTGCTCTCGACAAAATTCAAAACTTCATGTCTGCTGAAAATCGTGATGTAGACGCGAC